ATTCTTATTATTTGTGCTACTATTGTCACACATTCTACTTGTAAATATGTTATGAATTTTGTAATATAATGCAGTTGTTTTTGTCTTAAATATTCTAGTCTTTTAAAAATGAGAAAAAGATTTTAAAATATTTACTTGCAGAATTATCATTTAGAACCATTCTTGTAGCTTTGGGGGGATTCAAGTTTTCTTTTATTTTTAATTTCCTTTAACTTTTAGACTGTTAGATAACATTTTTGTGTAATATAAGTCTGGTGGCCTCAAATTCTATCATCTTTTATTCATCTGAAAATACTTTTTCTTTCAGTTTTGAAAGTAATTTTCAAAAGTGTCTGAGTTCTAAGTTAATATTCCTCACCCACGTCCCCTTCCCCGTACTTTAAAGATGTTTTTGCATTATTGTTTGGCTTGTGTTACCTCAAACAAGAAGTTAGTAATACTTAAAATATTCCCCCTGTACATAGTATGTCAATTTTTCCTGACTAATTTTAAGATTTGTTTTTGTTTATGAGTGGGTCTCAGCAGTATATTATTAAGTGCCCTAGGTGGTTTTGTTTATGTTCATCTTGCTTGATATTTGTTTAGCCTCTAAGATCAGGGGGTTTATAAGTGGGTTCATTAAATTTGGAAAAATTCCATCTATCATTGTAAAATATTTTTTTCTACTCATACCTTATACTAAATCTCCAAATAACATGTTACATGGTCTGATATTATCCCGCATGCCACTAATTTTCCACTCATATTTTTCTGCCTTTTTTCTCTGTCTATTTCCATTTGGATAGTCAATCGCTATGTACCAAGTTTCCAGTTCTTTTATTCTGCAATGTCTAGCTTCTTGTTGAGTTAATCCAGACAATTTTTCATTCCAGATATTGTATTTTCCATTTTGGAAGCTCCATTTGCTTATTTTTTTTTCTAGTTTTTTTCTCTACTTTGTTTTTATACCTCACTGTGTGTGTTAATTTCTCAGCTGTGTCTGACTCTTTCAGTTCAGTTCAGTTCAGTTGATTAGTTGTGTCCGACTCTGCAAACCCATGAACTAACTGAAGCACGCCAGGCCTCCCTGTCCTTCATCATCTTCTGCAGCTTGGTCAAGCTTTCATCCACTGAGTCAGTAATGCCATCCAATCATCTCATCCTCTGTCATCCCCTTCCCTTCCCGCCTTCAATCTTTCTCAGCATCAGGGTCTCTTCCACTGAGTCAGTTCTTTGCATCAGGTGGTCAAAGTATTGGAGTTTCAGCTTCAGCATCAGTCCTTCCAATGAATGCTTAGGACTGATTTCCTTTAGGATGGACTGGTTGGATCTGCTTGCAGTCCAAGGGACTATCAAGAGTCCTCTATAACACCACAGTTCAAAAGCATCAATTCTTCAGTGCTCAGCTTTCTTTATAGTCCAACTCTCACATCCATACATGACTACTGGAAAAACCATAGCTTTGACTAGATGGACCTTTGTTGGCAAAGTAATGTCTCTGCTTTTTAATATGCTGTCTAGGTTGGTCATAGCTTTTCTTCCAAGGAGCAAGTGTCTTTTAATTTCATGGCTGCAGTCACCATCTGCAGTGATTTTTTAACCCCCCAAAATAAAGTCTGTCACTGTTTCTACATCTATTTGCTATGAAGTGATGGGACCAGGTGCCATGATCTTAGTTTTTTGAATGCTGAGCTCTAAGGCAACTTTTTCACTCTCCTCTTTCACCTTCATCAAGAGGCTCTTTAGTTCTTCTTCACTTTCTGCCGTAAGGGTGGTATCATCTGCATATCTGAGGTTATTGATATTTCTCCTGGCAATCTTGATTCCAGTTTGTGCTTCATTCAGTCCAGCATTTCTCATGATGTACTCTGCATATAAGTTAAATAAGCAGGGTGACAATATACAGCCTTGACATACTCCTTTCCCAATTTGGAACCAGCCTGTTATTCCATGTCCAGTTCTAGCTGTTGCTTCCTGACCTGCACACAGATTTCTCAAAATGCAGGTCAGGTAGTCTGGTATTCCCATCTCTTGAAGAATTTTCCACAGTTTGTTGTGATCCACACAATCAAAGGCTTTGGCATAGTCGATAAAGCAGAAATAGATGTTTTTCTGGAACTCTCTTGCTTTTTCAATGATCCAATGGATTTTGGCAATTTGATCTCTGGTTCTTCTGCCTTTTCTAAATCCGGCTTAAACATCTGGAATTTCACGATTAATGAACTGTTGAAGCCTGGCTTGGAGAATTTTGCGCGTTATTTTGCTAGCTTGTGAGATGAGTGCAATTGTGTGGCAATTTGAGCATTCTTTGGCATTGCTTTCTTTGGGATTGGAAAGAAAACTGACCTTTTGTCTGACTCTGTGCAACCCCATGGATTGTAGCCCTCCAGGCTCCTCTGTCCATGGGATTTGCCAGGCTGGAATAGTGGAGTGGGTAGCTATTCCCTTCTCCAGGGGATCTTCCCAACCCAGGGATAGAATCTAGGTCTCCTGCATTGCAAGCAGATTCTTTACTTTCTGAGGGCTTCCCTGATAGCTCAGTTGGTAAAGAATCTGCCTGCAATGCAGGAGACCCTGGTTTGATACCTGGGTCGGGAAGATCTTCTAGAGAAGGGATAGTCTACCCATTCCAGTATTCTGGGCGTCCCTTTTGGCTCAGCTGGTAAAGAATCTGCCTCCAGTATGGAAGACCTGGGTTCGATCCCTGGGTTGGGGAGATCCCGTGAAGAAGGGAAAGGTTACCCACTCCAGTATTCTGGTCTGGAAAATTCCATGGACCATATAGTCCATGGGATTGCAGAGAGTTGGACATAACTGAGCGACTTTCACTTCACTTCTCTACCTTCTGAGCCACCAGAAAAGCCCAGGGTATATTTATATTAGAGGTTTAAAGACCTTGGCAGCCAATTCAATCATCTCTGTAATTTCTGAATTTGCTTTTAATGATTTACCATTTTACAGGTTATATTTTTCTTTTTAGAAGTCTAGTAGTTTTTTGACTGGATGCCAGACATTGCTAGGCAGTCTTGTACCAGAAAGAACTGCTGTTCAGTTGCTAAGACATGTCTAACTCTTTGTGGCCCCAAAGCTTGCAGTATGCCAGCCCCCTTTGTCCTTCTGTATATCTCAGAGCTTGCTTGGATTCATGTCCATTGAGTCGGTGATGCTGTCTAACCATCTCATCCTCTGCCAACCCCGTCTCCTTTTGCCTTCAATCTTTCCCAGCATCAGGGTCTTTTATAGTTAGTTGACTTTTAGCATCAGGTGGCCAAAGTACTGAAGCTTCATCTTCAGCATCAGTCCTTCCAATGAATATTCAGGGATAATTTCCTTTAGGATTGACTGATTTGATCTCTTTGTAGTCCAAAGGACTCTCAAGAATCTTCTCCAGAGCCACAACTCAAAAGCATCAGTTCTTTTTGGTGTTCAGCCTTCTTTATGTTCCCAGGCTCACATCTTGTTGTTCCTCTCAACAAGACAATTTGAAATAACCTGTCCTTAAGTTTGCTGATCCTTTGTTTCACATGATACAGTTTGCTTGAGGCACTCTGTTGAATTTTTCAGTTCAGTTTTTGTATCCTTGACTTCCAGAAATTCTGTCTGGTTTCCTTTTGTGTTTTCTGTTTTTCAGTATATGTGTTGCCAAAGTAAACACTGTGTTTCTATTTTTTTTTTTTATTAAACTTGGCCATTTGTTCATGTACTCTCTTCCTGATGGTACTTGATTGTCTGTTTATGTTCACTTATAGTCACTGAGTTTAATACAATTATTTTAAATTTTTTTGTCAAGCAGTTCATAAATTTTCATTTTTTCAGGGTAGGTTGCTAGAGATTTACTGGTTTCCTTAAGTGGTATCATATCTTCCAGGTTCTTCATGATCTGTAGGCTTGCATTAGTGAGTGTGCATTTGAAGGAGCAGACATTTCTAGAATTTACAGACTGATTTCAACAAATAAAGATCTACTGCCTTGTCCTTGGACCAATAGGACTGCCCCTGGTCTTATGGTCCAGTGAAGCTGGAGTCGTGTTATGTGGCTGCTGCTGGGACTGCACTTGTGTCTCTGGTCAGTGGCCCTGTTGGTAGGTGAATGGATGGGTGTGACTTCCTCTGGGTGCTGAAGTGGACAGGATTGCCTCCCTAGTGTGGTAAAGTGAGGCAGAGCCTAGGTCTCAGGGTGCACTAGAATCTGCACTCACACTCACGTCCACAGTTGACAATCCTGTTGTCAGTGATGCCAAATGGTGTGACTCCTTCTGGATGTCTGGGTAAACAGGACTGCCCAGGACCATNTTAAAAGATTATAATGTTCTAGAATAGAAAAGAGTAGAGGCATTTAGATTTAGAAGTAGATATACTGCTTCAGTTTACTTGCTCCTTGGTTGAGAGGGTTTTCATTATTGCTATTTCCTTGCTGCTATTTGTCCATTGTTTCCCCTTTCTTAAACAACATGGAAGATTATGGGTATTTTTGTAGAGTTAGGAAATTGGGTACATAGGATTTCAATAAAAGATTTATATCAACTAGCTTCACTGCCATTACCTCACTGTCAATAGAGGTGTTTTGCTGCTTCATAGTTAATCACTGTAGACTTTGTAATTTTAGGTAAAGAAAAATATCAGAGTTTTCGCATGGTACCATTCTCAGAAATGTCAAACATGTTTGCGTAGCCCTTCCCATGTATTGTTTTATTGTCTAAAGAATTCATACTATACCTGAAATTTGTGGAACATTGTTTTTGTGAGAGTGAAAATGTTAGGCCATTGAGGCAAGAAGGCTAACGTATGGGACATTTAATAAAACCCCCTGTAATCGGAAATGTTCCAGATGAATGCATAGGGGAAAAACATGGGAAAGAAAAATATTGGCAGAAGCACGAAACCAATGTCTGATGTAATATGTGGTGACTTAAGGGGGAGGTAACGTGCATTCTATAAAACCTGAGCTGTCCTAAAAATGAAAAAGCTTTTTCTTCCACGCAACCTTCTGTGTGTGTCTGTCCTCTTCCTCGCTGATGCCACTCATCCCTTGGGTACTCCTGGACCCGCTGGGGATGGACTCTAGCGGAGTCCTTCCTGTGGAAATGCCCTGTGACTGCCCTGGGTGGTCCTGACTGTTCCTATGGAAACATGGCCTCTGTGATCTACTCAGGTAAGAGAGAGAAGGGATACTTGTACCTAGGATGCTCGTGGAGTGAAATGGTCTCAAGAGCAGAGAGTGAGGGAAAACTGGCTTCAGATGTTAGAAGTTTCACAATGAAATACAGGTTCCATTGTTATTCATTCATTTTTCAGATCAGGGGCAAGAAACATTAAGGGAAATATATTTGCTAAGTAAACATGGCTATTTAAGCATAATCATGGAGAGCGAAGTATAAGAAATAAGTATATACCTCAGTCAGTGTTTTTTTTTCCTGCTGAACCATGTGAGAATTACCATACCCATCAGATTCCTTAACCAGATATCTCAGCATGTATTTCTTAAGTACAAAGACATTATTCAAATTCAGGAAATTCTGATTTCACAAGTTATTATTAACTGTTTTTTTGTCTGAAATACATCTGAACCTGAAGTTGTTTTCTTTTGGTTTCATAGTAGGAAACTTTAAATACAAATTCTGTATTTTTTAATAAATCAGAATTATTCAGATTTTCTGTTGGTTCTTGTGTCATTTAAACTGGTATTATTCAAAGAATTTTCACTTTAGCTAAATGTTTAAGTCTTGGTAAAGAGGAGATGATGTCAGCATCACGGTGGTATAAGATATCCCTCCTATTTGCTTCTCTTTATAGCAAGTAATTAACCATACATCCATGATTAAAAGAGCTTCTGCAAAAGTTGTGGGATCCAATATGAGGATGGTCACCCACCTGGGCATCCAGTAATAGGCAGACAGACTTTGGTACAGACTGGACTCAGCAGAAGCTAGTGAACCTGTCCCAACACCCTGGGCTATGGTCATGCAAAATCTGGAAAAACCTGGTGAGTGCTGACTTGGTTAGACACCTAGGAAAATTGTTAAAAGTCCAGGATTCCTGAGGGGAGATTTCAGTACTCTGTTGAAGCCAAAATAAAAGTTTGAATGATTGGAGAGGATTAAAGAATTTTGCCAGGGCTACCCCTCACTCCAAGGTGACACAGCATTAATTTGAACTATCCAGTGGTGCCTCTTCAATGGGGGAAAAGGAGAACAGTGAGCTAGTGCCCACTCAACACTGCCGGGGAAACCGGTTGAACCTCCTTGACTGTGGGGAGAGAGGAAACATGAAAGGTCATTAGAAATGTCAAATGGAGTAAAAGGGATGCAACTCATACTGACTTTGCTCAGGGCTTAAGCCGGAAGCCCATCCATAAGCCTCTAGGGGAATGTCAACAAAAGTCTCCCTCCCTAGGCCTGTGGATACTACAGTTCCCAAGTACTGAACTCATACTTACTGTCACCATTCTGACAGCTGCTTTTGTATGTTCCCAAGTGTGGAAATGAGAGCAAATTCCAGTAAATGGAGTGATCTCAAAAAAATAGACTAGGGTCTGTGGGCAAAGAGGTAACCACAGACTTGAGATGTAGCACAACATTCTGCAAAACAGAAGAGAGGTTTCCAACTGCCTGGTGAGTTGTAAGCACCAGAGAAGGCATAAAAGCTTGTTTCTGTTACAAGAAGGAACAAGAAATGTAGAGCAAGTGAGTCTATATAAGGTCAGAGAAGAGTACACACTCCCTTAAGTGTAATTAGTAAAGATTTGATGGGGTGTCTTCTATATCTAAAGCAAAAGCAGCAGGGCAAAATTGCAAGGAACTTGAAGAATCAAGGAAAGATGTCATCAATTTGCAAAACTGACAAAGATACACATGTCAATGACATAGAACTTTGTGATCCAGCTCCTAAAGAATCCAACACAGCTGTTTTGAGGAAACTGAATGAACTACAAGAAAAGACAGAAAGACAATTCAATTAAGTCAGGGAAATAATAGATGAACAAAATGAGAAATTCAATAAAGAGAAGTTATAAAAAGAATGAAATAGAAATTCTGGTGCTGAAGAATTTAATAAATTAAATGGAAAAATGCAATAGAGAGCATCTACAACAGAGTAGATCAAATTCAAGATAGAATCATTGGCTACAGGATATAACGTTTGAAATAATGTCAGTGGAGAACCAATGGAATGAGTAAAAAAGAAGAAAGATATCCTATGTGATTCATAGGTCTCCATCTGACATACAAATATTATTAAAATAATTGGGGGTCTAGGAGAAGAGAGAGAGAGGGTGGGAGAAAGTGTATTTAAATGAATAATAGCTGTGAACTTTTCTAACTTGGGGAGATGCTTGAAAATTCAGGTTGATAAAGCTAATAGGTCACCCTATAATCCGAATGCAAAAGACCTTCTCTCAGAAACACTATAATTAAACTGTAAAAAAATCAAAGATGAAGAATCATAGAAGTAGCAGAAAAATTATTAAATAAAGTGGAATAACTAAATGAATATAACATGCTGTTTAAAATTTGAAACTCTACTGGTCACATGTAGGACTAGCTTGTTCACATTTCTTAGGGCCACAGATTGGTGACTTATATACAGTTTATCCATATACACAGACTGTCTTCACGAATGATCAATGAAGCATAAAGCAAACATAAGTGGTATTTTTTTACAGTAGCAAAATATAGGGAAATTTTGGAAAAATTCCACTTAACATAGTATAAAAAAGTGAAGTCACTCAGTCATGTCTGACTCTTTGTGACCCCATGGACTGTAACCTACCAGGATCCTCTGTCCATGGGATTTTCCAGGCAAGGTTGCCATTTCCTTCTCCAGGGTGTCTTCCTAACCCAGGGATTGAACCATGTCTCCTGCATTGCAGGCAGACTCTTTATCGTCTCAGTCATCCAACTCCCTTTATCATAGTATGAAGACTGTTAAATATGTAGGAAGAAACTTAACAAAATATCTAAAGGACTTTACATTGAAAGTCACAGAGCATCTAAAAAAATAAAGATGTATACCAGGTTCATGGATTTGAAAACATAAGAGGGTTGTCAATCTCTTCAGCTGATCTATATGATCAATCTAATCCTAATCAAAATCTGAGCAATATTTTTGTAGAACTTTATAACTCAATTATAAATTATATATTTAAATGTGAAGGAACTAGAATGGACAAAACAATTTTGAAAAAGAAGGGCAAAAATAGAAGCAAACTAACTTCAAGTTTCCTGCAATGTATCCAGAGCAATGTGGTCATTGAATAAGGATAGCTAAATAGATCAACAGAACATAAAATTTTAGCAATAGAAATCCAAATTCATATATAAGTTGAAATTCTACAAAGACACAGAGATATTTCAAAAGGAAAAATATAATATCTTCAAAAAATAATCTGCTAACTGAATATCTGCATGGGAGAAAATGAACTGCTATCCTTATTTCACATTGTTAAGTCCCATTCTCCCCATCTTCACTCTGCAGAAAACCCCCAATACATCAAAGTAGCTCCAATAAATGGCTATTCCCATATCAAATTCAATTATAAAATGTGTAGGAGAAAATATAAGAAAAATTACCATGATCCTGGAGAAGGCAAACATTTCCTAAGGCAAGTAAGGCATTAATCGTTAAAAAAATGAGAAGTGATTTTCATCAAAATTAAAATATTTTTCTTTTTGAAAGAAAACATTAAGAAAATGAAAAGACATTCAACTGATAGGAAGAAATTAATTGCAATAAATATATCTAACAGAGGACTTGTATCCTGAGTAAGTGAAAAATTTATAACAAAAAAATAAGAAATACCCAGTTTAAACGTGGGCAAAAGATTAAGAAAGACAATTCCCCAAAGATGATATACAATTGGCCAATATATAAATGAAAAGATACTCAATATCTCTAGTTATTAAGGAAATTCAAATTAAAACATGAGATATAAATTCACAAACTAGAATGGCTAGAGTTAAGGAGACTGACAATTCCAAGTTTGGAGAAGGATATTGATCCACTAGAACCTTCATATACTGATGATAATAATGTATAAGAAAACGGCTCTTAGACAACTTTATGTTACTCAAAATTTCTATTACCCAAGAAGAATGAAAAGATATGTCCATAAAAAATTTAAGCTAGAAAAGTCAGAATATTTTTATTAAAAAAAATAATATACTACTATAATTTTCTTTAGAGAAAGAATAGAAAACAAATTATGGCATATTCAACAATGTAAGTGTTTAAACAATACAAAGAATAAACTACTCATAAAGCCAACTACACTGAAAATCTCAGTGCATGTTAACTGAAAGAAGTCATGTGAAAGGGATTACCTATTGTATGATTTTATGAAATCCTAGAAAACACAACTAATCTATTGTTGTAACCTGGAAGGGCTAGTTTTAAATTTACACTGAATCTTCTTCTGTGGCTTTAACTCTTTTTTGTTATTGTAAACCTACATGATGGCCTGCCTCAGGGAGATAACCTGAGTTGCCCACCTGTGAAGAAACGCTGGGCTGGATGAAGCAAAAACTGGGATCAAGATTGCCGGGAGAAATATCAATAACCTCAGATATGCAGATGACACCACCCTTACAGCAGAAAGNTGATGTGAAGAACTGACTCATTGGAAAAGACCCTGATGCTGAGAAAGATTGAAGATGCGAGGAGAAGGGGGCGACAGAAGATGAGATGGTTGGATGTCATCACCAATTCAGCGGACATGAATTTGGGTGAACTCCAGGAGTTGGTGATGAACAGGGAGGCCCAGCGTGCTGCAGTCCATGGGGTCGCAAAGAGTCGGACATGACTGATCGACTGAACTGAACTGAACTGAAGGACTGTAAGGAAATGAAACTAATATATTCCCTTGCCTGAGGACAGCCATTCTAGGGGACATTTGCAAGGGTTGAATAGTCTTTTTACTTTGTTTCCTCATCTCTTCCTCATCTCTGATTCATAAAAGAACCTGACAACCAGGCCCTGACAAGATGGTTATTTTGAGGTGCTAGCCTTACATCCACCCCTCAGCTGTCTTCTCCATTAAAGTCTCTTCCTTGCCTCAACCGCTCGTCTCTTGGATTCATTGCTTTGTTGTGCGGTGAGCAGAGTGAGCTTGGATTTGGTAACACTGTGATAGAAGATGGATCAGTATTTGCCCGGGTCTGCGTTTGTTGGGCTTTTATTGGTTGCAAAAAGCATGTAGGAACTTTTGGGGTAATCCTATATATTCCGAATTTTAATTGTGGTAGTGGTTACACTGGCACATGTGATTGTCAAAACTTACGAAAAGATGCTCAATATATTTTACTGTGTGAATAATTATACCTCAGGAAAGAAGGTTTTACCATCTGTCTTCTGTTTTTAGCTTAATTCTACTTTAGTAAAAAAAAATTAAAAAAAAATGATTTTAGCCCTTAAAAATTTTTTTGGATCCGACTTTTTTAATATGATAAGCCCTAGTAAATGGCCTGTAAGTGCTTGGAATAAGGTGTATTCTGTAATTTTGAGATGTATGTTTATTAAATGTGTTAACTTAAAAAATAGTCACAACCTAGAAGTTAAGAGTTATGTTCTATTTGGTGGGAATTCTCAAGACTTTGAGCCTGGGGGACAGCATGTCAAACAGCCTTGAGAAACTGCTCCAAGGAAGTGGGGAAGGAGTCAGGTTCTATCGAAGTTGCAACAAAGGAGGCGGGTAGTATGAACATCAAAGATTATTGTTAATTAAGGAAAATCAGATGACTTAGCACTCTTCTATACATGGGAAGATGCAAGCAGCCAGGCTCACTGAATTCATTCTTTTTATGTGCATCTCAGCTATCTGGGGCCAGGATCCAGCTTCTTGATTTTATTATATCCTTAGTTCTCTGATCACTGCTCACTGTAGGCAGTGGAGGCAGCTGACAGCTGCTGGATCACAGGCATTGTTCTTTTGGGGCTTCCTTTGTGGTGCCCTCCAGGCGCAGAGATTCACATTTGGAGGCCCCAAATTGCTGATGGCTGTGACATTCTTGTTTACTGACCTGGCAGGACATACTCTATTTTGTAATCACACCATTCACATCTTCTAAATATTTAGTGATTGGTTTTGCTGCTTCACTACTGAGTTACTGAGGCTGAGAGTGTTTTCTAGTTACTGTTCCCATGAAAGAAAATTAGTTTAAAATCTAGTCACTTAAAGCGACCATTTTATTGTGCATAACACAGATCACCAAGCATTTTTCCTTCAGCCCCAGTGGTGTTTCCTCACCTCCTTTCAGTCCTAATCGACAGCATTGTCTAAGCCCATCAGGTTTCTGCTAATAATCTCCTCCACCCCATCTAGCTTCTGCCTGCTACTTTGTTCCAAAAGCAATGTCACCAGTTTTAGGTGGCACCCCAAATTTGAGTCATTATGGATAAAGATGCTATGCATATGCATATACAAGTCCTTTTGAAAACAATACAAACACTTCATTTGTCTTCATAAATTCTTAGTGATATAGTAAGTTTAAGTGTTTAGTTACTATTGTTACATAAGAGAATTTCCCTCAAAATTTACTAGCTTAAAACTCCTTTTAATCTTTTCTCACAATTTCCTGCATAAAGAATTACAGATGTGCTCAGATTTGTATTTGTCTTGGAGTCTTATCAGGTTGCAGCCCAGTATCAGCTGGGGCTGACATCATCTGAGGAAACAACTGGGCTGGGGATCCAGGATGGTTCATGAACAAGCCTGGCAACTGGGTTGAACTGAGTGACCAGAGACCTGCACGTGATAGTCCCTGCAGGACAGAGCCTCAACAGGGCAGACTTGCCTTAAAGCAAAGTCCTAAGTGATTACACAGGAAGCTGCCTGAGTTTTCAGACCTGCTGCTGAGAGTCAAGCAATGTTACTTTCACTCCCTTCTATTGCTTACTAGGAATTCACGAAGGCCAGCAGAGCTTCAAGAGAAGGAGACATACATCTGAATTCTCAGTGGATATGACAGTAAAAATTTTGTGGATATGTTGAAAACTTCCAGCCCTCCCAGCCCTCTGATCATTGCTGTTTCTGCAGGAAACCAGACCCAGGTGCTGCCCCAGTGCGATGACTCCCTGTCTGAAGTAGGGAGGCCGCAGGCTCTGCGGCCTCAGAGGAGAGCGCCCCCTACTGCTCAGGTGAGGGTCCCACAGGACAGAAGACCTTTTCATTCCCCAGATCACCGCCCCATTGTCCCATTTCTCTCTCCTCAGACAGCAGACAGCTCCGCCTGGTGGACGGGGGCGGTCCCTGCGCCGGGAGAGTGGAGATCCTTGAGCAGGGCTCCTGGGGCACCATCTGTGATGACGGCTGGGACCTGGACGATGCCCGCGTGGTGTGCAGGCAGCTGGGCTGTGGAGAAGCCCTCAATGCCACGGGGTCTGCTCACTTCGGAGCGGGATCAGGGTCCATCTGGCTGGACGACCTGAACTGTGGAGGAAAGGAGTCCCACGTGTGGAAGTGTCCTTCCCGAGGCTGGGGGTAGCATGACTGCAGACACAAGGATCTGCAGTCATCTGCTCAGGTCTGCGCTGCACACTGTCCACAGTCTGGGGAATGGGTGGAGCCCTGGAGTACGGGGGTCTGAGCCCTGAGGGAGAGATGCTGAAAGGACCAGAGTAGGAGGCTTCCTCCCATGGAGGCTGTCTTTGCAGCAGACATGAAGAGGAGGTGCTTTCACTTCCTCCTGCAGCAGCTGAGATTCTGGTCCTTTCTTCTCCCCAGTGTTTCCTGGCAGAGCTGTTTCTCAGTTTCCACGTGAAAGCAGGGCTCTTTCCTCTGTTCCCTGTGGCAGTACAGTCTGGAGATCCTGTTGACTTTGTAATGACAGCACAGATTTACTCTGTTCAGTTCCGTAGCTAGGAGTCTGACGAGGGTCTCTGTGGGCCAACATCCCAGTGTCCACAGGGCTGAGTTCCTCCTGGAGGGTATGGGGAGGACTCGTTTCTCAGCCTTTCCTGGTTTCATTGTGGCCTCATTCCTTGTCTCAGAGCCCTCTTTCTTCTTCTTCAGACAACATTTTCTCCTTTCTTCCATGTCTCATCTCCCTCTAAACACAGTCAAAAAGAGAATTCCAGTTTTGCAGATGGTAGGTCTAAGGATGTGATTGTGTGTATGCATGTTGAATTTATCAGTAATGTCTGACCCTTTGTGACCCCATGGACTGTAGCCCACCAGGTTCTCTTGTCCATGGAGTTCTCCAGGCAAGAATACTGGGGTGGGTTGCCATTCCCTTCTCCAGGGGATCTTTCTGACCTAGGGATTGAACCTGGGGCTCCTCCATTATAGCAGATTCTTTACCATCTGAGCCACCAGGGAAGCCCAAGAATATGATTACATTGGGTTTACTTGGTTAATGCATAATGTTGCAGGCTAATATCACAATCCCAAGGTCCTAAGTTTCTAGTCTTAAAAATATCTGCCAAGTCTGTTTTGAAATGAAAGGTAACATTCACACCTTCCAGGGATTAGGACTTAGACAATTGTGGTTCATTATTCTGCCCATCTCTCCAATATCTACATCACTTCCCTTTCACATACTCTTTTAGAGATTTTGACAGGAAGCATGATTCAGCTCCCCTCCCTACAGAAGTCCAGGTTGGTCTTCCTCTTTGTTCGTATCCACTACATCATTGTAGTAGAAGTAGAAAGACAGACATTAAAGGACAAAGTCAGTTGAACTGGAGACAAATCTTATCTTCAGTCTTGTCACCTAGTGGATATCTCCTCCTCAGCAGGATCAGGAATTTATGGTCACAGGTTCTTGAGGAGAGGATAACCCAGAGCACTGAGTGGAGTGCTCACTGTGTCCTGTCTCCTCCTATTTCAACCAGAGTTTCTGACCCTCAGGATGGTGAGCAAGACCACCAGTGTGCTGGGTGGCTGGAAGTTTTCTACAGCGGGACCTGGGTCAGTGTCTGCTGCAGCNGCCTGGGGTCCTCTGCCTCATCCTGGGGGCCCTTCTCTTCCTGGTCCTCATCATCCTGGTGACTCAGCTGCTCAGATGGAGAGCAGAGCGCAGAGGTGAGCTGCAGGGGGAACTGGGGACCAGAGAGCATGTGTGGAGGCAGGAGATGGGGCAGGTGTGAGGAGGGGAGCCTGGGCCAGGTCTCTGCTCTGAGTTGCAGAACTACATGTGCTCCATGCTGAGCTCTAAGGGCTGAGTAGACAGAAGACTGGGGTGTGAACTCTCATAAGTCATGGCCTCTCCTGTGAGACCAGAAAGAGTGAGGGCTGAGCTGTGAATTCAGGTCAGACGAGTGGAGAAGGTGCCAGCACAGTGCATGGGGTAAGAGATGATACTGAGGTCCAGGCAGCCTCTGTGTGAGCATCAGGGAGACGAAGGTGGGTCTGCTGGATCGGGGTGTCTGAGGTGGCATCTCTGACTTGCTGGGGGATCTCTCAGCCTTATCCAGTTATGAAGATGCTCTTGCTGAAGCTGTATATGAGGAGCTCGATTACCTTGTGACTTGGAAGGAGGGTCTTCTGGGCAGCCCAGGTGGATGTCTCTGCCTGACCTCCTGGGACCTCTGGCTGTCACCTCCCATTGGCTGTGAACATCTTCTCAGCGTCCACAGACCCCACTTGTGCCCCAGGCTTACAGAGGCAGCTCTCCAAAGTGGCAGGATGGCCTCTCAGAGCCCTGTGAGCCCCCAGCCCCCACCTACACTTCAGGAGTCAGGCCTGTCCCTTCTCAGCCTTATCACAGGTCGTGGGTGTGGGAGGGTCATTCTGTGCGTCATGCGATGTTTTTCTCCTCTTTGGGCTTCCTGTCAGATGGTGAGGACAGCAATGACTCCAGATCTGCTCCCGGTAATAGAGGTGGACCCGCCTCAGCTGGGCTTTGGGGAGGAGAGTTTCCCTCCTCATAGAGAGGAGATGTAAGGGGAACAGTCTTCCTCTGATGGACTAGAAGGATCCCTTGTGTCCAGATAGGGTCTGTCCTTCCCTTTCTCTGGCTGTTCTGTGATGTCTCACATTGGGGCCGGGCTCTCTGTGTCCAGAATAACAGGCGCACACTGGTTTTAAAAATAATTTCTGTAAAGCACAATTTGTCAAAATACTTTAGTAATGCTCAATGGTGGGAGAGCATTGCTTTGGGATATATATTTTAAATCAGGAAATATTAAGATATGTAAAATCATATTTTGGTTTATGGACACATCAAAATGAAACACGGTCTTAGAGAAAAAAATCTTTTGAAACAAGGAGTGACAGGTGCCTCTATTTAGCAGCTCAGAAACTCTGGGTCAGAAGGGATCTTAGTATTTCCCAGATCAACCCACTTATAATGTGGTTTCATCTGACCCCTGCTCTTCCCTCAGAAGCCCCAGATGAGAGGACTGATGCCCCTGGTGAGGATTATGATGATGCTGAAGAGGTACCAGTGCCCGGGGCTCCTCCTGCCTCTCAGGGGAGCAAGGAGGAAGGGCTCCCAAAGAAAAGAGATGGGATGAGGCCTCAGACAGGTGAGTGGGGTTAGCTGATCCCTTGTAATCTTTGGGCTCTGTCCAGAAAAGGGTGAATTTGAGCTCCTCAATGCCAAGCCTCTCTACAGTTTCAAAACATGGGTAATCTCGTGCATTTAATGGGTTCCCTGGTGGCTCAGATGGTAAAGAATCTGCAGTGCAGGAGACTGGGGTTTGATCCCTGGATCAGGAAGATTCCCTGGAGAAGAGAATGGCTACCATCTCCAGTATTCTTGCCTGGAGAATCCCATGGATAGAGGAGCCTGGCAGGCTACAGTTCATAGGGTTGCAAAGAGTCAGACACAGCTGAATAACCAGCACTTCACTTCATAACCATACGCTATCTTTAATGCTGTCAGACTCCTTGGGGATGAGGAATCACTGTACTTCAGCATTTATGGCTTCATAATGCATGGAGAAGGAAATGGCAACCCACTCCAGTATTCTTGGCTGGAGAATCCCATGGACGGAGGAGCCTGGTAGTCTACCGTCCGTGGGGTCGTGAAGAGTTGGACCCGACTGAGCAACTTCACTTTCACTTTTCATTTTCCTGCACTGGAGAAGGAAATGACAACCCACTCTAGTATTCTTGGCTGGAAAATCCCTGGGACAGAGGAGCCTGGTAGGCTGCCACCATGGGTTCACACAGAGTTGGACACGACTGACGCAACTTAGCAGGAGCCACAGCTCCATAATGCAACATAAATTTTCACTTTATATGTGATATTCTTGCATTAAAATTTATAGATTAGGGACTTTTCTGGTAATCCAGTGGTTAGGACTCTGCACTTTCACTGCTAGGCCCTGGGTTCAATCCCTAGTCAAGGAACTAAGATCCCACAAACATTGTGTAGTGGCCAAAAGAAATAGATAGCTTATAGATTAATTGAGCATATTTACCAAATCTGAAAATAGACAAGTGTTTTGATAACATATCTGTGCTGCCCTGTATATGAAAGATAGAGATTTAAAAAGTGTATTGCAGTATTGAAATTTGTGAGGCATTCTGATAATTTAAGATGAGTTCTGTTTATAAGGTTGTAATGACATGTACAAAGTCTATGGTATATGGTGGCCTTAACATTAAGCCATGTTGGTGGATCATTGTGTCGGGGGAGTGTATGATTTCCTTGGTTCTGTCTCGCTGCAGCAAAAATTTGAAGTGACGGATGGACCAGAGTTACAGCTCAGTTACGGCTCAGTTTTATTTGGCAAGCAAAGGAAAATACATCCTTGAGGTGTGAGGGCAGGTTGACCCAAAAGAAGCAAAGAGAGGCGACGAGAGAGGCTCAATTTTGGCTCCTCTTTTTATATATTTTGTCTCCTCCCCTGAGCCTGCTCTATGTAAACTGGGCTGGCCAGGAGGGCTGTTTGTTTCACCTGAGGTTCTCACTCCAGTCCTTGGACCTTCTTTTGTTCTATTTTCTTGGGTATTTCCTTTCTTTGTCTTTTAGCCACTGCCATTCTGGACTCCTTTTTCCCATTCTAACTACCTAACAATTGATTCAGAGTTTGTGATCAGCTAAGGTCTAATTTCCTCCAGATATTTTAGTGGTCAAGAGAAAACATTCTTTCTCTGGAAAGGAGTATTTCTCCATCTGAGGGTCTGTGTGATCCCTGGGAAGGGGCCATCTGTGGATGCACCCATGATACTATTTGTAGACATTTAGGAGCATGCATCAAGGCTACTAAGAGCAGAGTTGGTTTGTGAGTGAGGAACTCAGAATTTTCCTGTCTCCACTCCCCCTCTAATTGTGACTTCACATTTGTCAGTTGTGAAAGGAGAATGTTTAAATTCATTTTTTTCCCATTTATTTTTATTAGTTGGAGGCTAATTACTTTACAACATTGCAGTGGTTTTTGTCATACATTGAAATGAATTAGCCATGGATTTACATGTATTCCCCATCCCGGTCCCCCCTCCCACCTCCCTCTCCACCCCATCCCTCTGGGTCTTCCCAGTGCACCAGGC